ACATGCGCGGTGCTCCCGGGCAGGGAAAGTCCTCGACTGACGACCGATTGGGTAGTCCTCGACTTACGACCGGTTTAGTCCTCGACTTACGACCGGTTGGGGTCGCGGCATTAAAAAGGTTGAGAACCACTGCTCTAACAGAACTCAGTGGTTATGCAATTCTTACCAAAGTTGCAAAGCAAGTGATCTCTTTATGGTGATATTCAACCTTTACTATGAACAAGTTAAATGTTAGACTAGAATACATGTGGCATTGAGAGTTATTACTGTACTCCTCTTCAGGTGGCTATCTTGTTTAACAACTTTTCATGAATACGACGGTAATTTTTAAAAAAAATCATTTTCCAACCAGTGTGAGCACTTACAAACAAACCATGCACCCTGGAATAAGAGTAAAGGCTGGTGAGATTGTTATGAGAGAACATTAATTAAATGAGACAGCAACCAATAATCTTCACAGTCTCTAATGACAATTTTACTTCCAGTTTAAGGAACGAATTGCAGTCTCTAAACGAGGAAAGGTTATATTGCTTTTTCTGGGGATCCATTATTCTTTTTTGTTGGGTATAAAGTTTTTGATTGTTTATAATGTGTACTGCTCATAGTCATTATGGTGTCAGACGGTAGCAATATTAAAAAGTTGAGAAATAGTTAAACATTAATAGAACAAAACATAGTACAAAATAGAAAATAAAACAAGTTATATAAAACATTATAAATTTAAAAAGTAAATGAAACATGTATTAATATTTTACATTTTTTCTTATTAGGAACATGATAGAATCGCCAGTGTTCTCCAACAGTATAAAAAGAAAAAGAATGTGAGTATTGTCTTATTTATGTATTCATTGATGCCAATGACTTTGATGTCCAAAGCAATAATAACACACCAGGGATGCCCTGGACCCATGAGCTTTTAGGATTTACACCAGTTTGCTGATATTAAAAGAGCCATTATTGCAAAGAAATGACAGACTATAAGATTAAAGCTCAGTGTGTGTCTATGTGAGTGTATACAGAGATGGATGGATATATACACCCCACATGCAAACCTTACGACTCTTTCTACCAAATGTGCATCCTACATGCTAGGAACTCCTTGTTTCTCATCAGGAAGAACAGTTGCTCTCTACATTGTTATTGCAAGAGATCAGTCTACTCTCAGTCCCTTTGCTTCTTTTTTTTAAATAATATTTTATTAGTTTTCTAATTTTACAATTAAACATTTAAAAAGCAATGTGGTGACTGGGTAATCAATAATTCAATAACATACATAAATCTTTAGCACAAATCTCAAGTTACAACATCAAATATTTCCTCTCTTTTCCCCTTAATATTTACTATCTCATATTAGGCTAATATAGTTCTTATTATTATCAACTAAGTAAAAACCATCTTTGTTACATTTATCAATAATGTTTAGCTTATATCTATTTTAATTGTGTTTGCATTCAATCCTTATATACAATCAATGTCCTGTTATTCTTTTAGCCTTACTCTGGTTTTCTTCCTTTGCCAACTGACCTTCCATGTCAGTAGATTTGAATCCTTAAACAGTTCTCCCTCTATTATTATATGCATTATTTGGAATAAGAAAGACCATTTGGTTACAGTTTTTTTGGGAAGAACTAGCCCATTTGTATTCATTTAATCGCCTCCCTGTTACTCCAATTTCCCACAATTGTCGTGATAGGTTTATCTTCCATTCAATCTGTTCTTCTTTCTTTTCCTCAAATTTCTTCTGATTTATGTAAAAAGTCTTTTCCATTTTCAATGTTGTCACTCCCTTTTCTGATTTTTCTGTTGGCTGGATCTGTTGGTCAATTGGGTCCTCTGTCTTAGTATTGTTCCACTTCTTCTGTTACTTTCTGCATTGTTAGATCTTTGGTTGTAGTCAAGATCTGGGTTTCTATATCTAAGCTGGCATTTTGTTCCTTTATGTTGCATCTTATTTTGTCACAAGCTGAAAGAATGGTTTTGTGTATTGATTTCAACATAGAAAGGATTTTTTCCTGATCTTCATCCATATTCTCTTGATAATGTGTTAAGTTGAAGACTTTAAAATCAAACATTAAAAATAGTTTTTTGTTTTTTATAACTAGGTATAGGACATCTATTTCATGTGTTGTAGGCAGTCTTTATAGTGGAAATTGTTTGCCAAGTAAGAATTTATAGTCCAGAGTATTCCATCATCTCGTGTAATAACAGGTGCTTCTCATGTAAAGAAATAGGAAAGCAATTCCCCATATATAACTCTGAAAATCAGTAAAGGTTTACTTCATAGTTCAGACAGGCCAGATATGCCGCCCTAAAATTACTTCTTTACAGCTGAGTTTTTCACAGGTGGTATCTGTCAAGATCAAAAGAGTTTTTTCTAGAGTCTGGGCTTTAAGCCAAGTCTCTTTTAGTCAATAACAAGTTGCAATACTATACTTCGCCACATGATATTGCTGAAGCTGTTCAAAACTTTTTAAGTCCAAAGTTTTTATAATAGTTTTTCAAGGTTTATTTCTTTTCTTTTTAGATAAAAACCAACATCTCCAGTAAAAATAGGAAAACTTTTAGTCCCCAAATTTCAAAAGTATATGCATCCAATTAGATTAAAATTGTTCTTATAATTGATCTGTTTCCTCTGGGTAATCAGTCGCCACTGTTCTTAGTAGGTGGGGTAGAAATTTCCTTCTCTCTCTGCTCATGGGGAAAAATACTGCAGTTTTTGCAGGAAAAGATATTTAAAGTCTTAAAGAGAAGATCAGATCTCACCCAGTTTCATCCACATTGCTTTAAAGGTGCTTGATAGTAATTTTGACTTCGGCTGTCAGCAGCTTAGTGATGAGCCATGTTGCTATGACTGGTCTTTCCCCCATTGGTTTGGAAGGCTGCCCTGGATCAAGCGGAAGGGCTGCCGTCCTCCCGCAATCAAGTGGGGGTCTCCTCCCTGCTCGTCACCCCTATAGGATGACTTTTGACCCTTTCCAGGGTCCCCCAGCGGGGTGAATTCAGACGCAGAAGACGGAGCTTGCCTTCCTGCATCCGCAGGCGCTGCAATGGCAAACCGGAAGTCTCAGTCCCTTTGCTTCTGATCTTGCCTGATCTAATCTGCATATTACCCTAGTCTGGTGTAAAATCATATCTAGAATGAAGTTGTTCCAAATTAAGTTCTTGACATCTTCAAAGAAGTTTGGAAAAAATGCATCTCTGTAATTTTGTTGTTCATACTGTACCAGATGGACTCATTGTCCTACTCAATATAAAATGGCTTTTACAAATTCCTGTGTTCTTTCACACTGAAATTAATGGAATGATTAGTCTTTACTCCTTTTAACACTAATAAATGAGGGGTATGGAGACAGGATTTCAGCATCAGATATAACTTCTCCAATTGTCCAATAACGGCTTGGCTGCTCCGCCATGCCTGAAGTGTTTTGCATCAAGCCAAATCACAGTATATTTTAAGAATTTTTTACAGTAGCTGCCAGGATTTCATATTTGAGCCAAGGATTGAACTTTCTTATATATCACATATTCTCCCAATAAGATAGGGATTTAATATGCATAAAATTATATAATAATTTTCATACTTTGTGTATGAAATGAACATCAGAAGGTAAGAAAGAACTATTAAGGATAAATTGCTAAAACAAATTATCCTTCAGAACAAAGTTTTCCTTAGGTTTTATTTTTCTTTCATCTTTTATTCAGGATATAGTAATACTAATTTCATCAGTTAAATGTATTGCTTACAACATTACAAATGGAGGTAGTCCTCAACTTACAGCCATTTGCTTAGTGACTGTTCGAAATTACAGAGACACTGGAAAAAAATGACATTTCCTTTTTTTCACACTTATGACTGTTGTAACATCCCCATGGTCATGTGATCAAAATTTGAATGCTTGGCAACTGGTTCATGTGTAGCATGTTCTGGAGTCATGCAATCACTTTTTGAGAATTTCCAACAGGCAAAGACATTTGGGAAGCCAGATCCATTTAACAACTATGTTACTAACAACTACAGTGATTTACTGAACAATTGTGGCAAGAAAGGGCACAAAATGGGGCGCAATTCACTTAACAACTGTCTCATTTAGCAACATAAATTTTGGGCTCAACTGTGGTTGTAAGTTGAGGACTATCTCTATGCAAATAAAAGACATAAGAAAATGAAGTTCATATATTTTATGACTTACCCAGCTAACACAAAGTGATAAACGTTTCAAAATTTACCTACTGAATCATTTGCATTTCAGGATCCCACATTTCAGGAGAAGAAGGAACGTTGTGAATATCTAAAGAACAAACTTTCTCACATAAAACAAAGAATTCAGGAATATGACAAAATTATGAACTGGAATACTTAGAATGACTTTAATTTTACCAAGAAGATTTTTTTACCATTTTAAAATATTTATTACCATTATTTTATATTTTTCTTGTAAAATTAGTAACTAAAATCTACTATGTATATTGTGAACTGAGGAAAAGTTTTATCTATTGTAAGATGGAAAACTGTCTAACAATGCAGTTAAACCATGTGCACTGTTGATGATCCTATTCTAAAATAACATAAAATTAGTATCTTTTTTTGTTTTAAATTCAAAATATTTGTATTTCTGTCATTGAGATATTTTCCTAAATATGAATAAGCTGTAAACAGATACTAGGGTGCCACTTAACTATTTATGTATAATGACCTATTTGGAGGGACAGGGAACCAGATTAGTACAATCATCTTGTTCGGCAATTTCCTTTGGATAGCCATACATTTTAAAATTAAATAATTTTGTAAGTTTAATATTTGTAAATCTTGACATTCTAAGCAAAAAATGGAGTTGTATTTTTGTGACCTGCATGTATTATGCAACAAATAGGTATATAAGTTTCCATCTGACAGGGCTGTGGCATTTGAAAATATCTCAATTATGCAAAGTACAACCTTTTTGTTGGAGGGATAGTTACCTTCACAATTTCCTCACTGGGTCAGTTGGATGTAGAAACAGAAGTTCTGGGATGAATAGCATCCTTTTAAAATTGATTCTGATGCAGAAAGGGAACTAAATCTGGATGTTTAGATAACTGTCATTTTATTTGAAAATCTATGCCAACTTTATTTCATAGGTGATGCATTTTGAATGTACAGTGCAATTTTTCTCAGAGAAAGTTATTAGCTCTGTATGAGAGAATATTATTAGGAAAGTGTTAAAAGAGAATCTAAGAAAAGCAACATTCAACTAAAATATTTTCAGACTGATACTGAATTCTACTTTTCTGCTGAAAGACAGTCTTGTCGTGTATATATCATTGAATTGTCAACTAATCTCACCTCTTAAATTCAGATTGGAGGAGTGATTATAGTTGACTTTTTCTGAACAACAACTTAAAATGTTGATTGAAATGACAGGTGCAGAAAAATTATTCAGGGCATTAAACAGCACAGTTTTTTAATACAACTCTCAGAAAATAGAAATCCCACAAACGTATCTTTTTATAAGTGAAGTGGGATGGAGCAGATCTTGCTTATAAGTTCATATATTTTTCTACATTTTTATATTGTATCCTATCACATTTTTTACAGAAGAATCTTAGCACATTGTAGTGAATTTCTACTCTAGGTATAACTTCAAAACAATCTTTTGGCATATAATTTTTATTAAAACTGTTAAACAAGAAGGTAAAAACTAACAAATATAGGGTAATGAAGAAAAAATAAAAAAGCAAAAAAAGTCAAGAAAAGAAAAGTTAAAGAAAAATAGAAAAGGAAAAAGATAATTTTCAAATAACATGCACTGGAATGCAAGTCATTTTCCTTTGGTTTCTTTATAGTATTAAGTCATAATGAACCTTCTGAAATACTGAACTGTATATTTTCATAAAATAATGAGTAAAACATATACTAGACAATCCATGACCTGTCGTCCTTTCAGACATACAGTATTTACTTACCTACCACTCCTGTACCCTCACACATCCTCGCTGATCCACGTCATGCCCACCTCCCCACATCTATCTGCACCCCATGCAACCTCCCTGACCTGTACAGTACCTCACTCTCTTGTGTACCTTCCCCAATGTGAACGGCATCATTTGTGCACCCAAATGACATGACATCTCTCACGCCCCACACCCTTCCTGACATGCACTGTCCCTCTTGTGTTCCCTGACACATACACCCTAGCCCAGGGGTAGGCAACCCAAAACACTCAAAAGAGCCACTTGGACCTGTTTCCCACCGAAAACAAAACACTGGGAGCCACAAAACCCTGTTGATATCTAAAATGAAGATAACATTGCATATATCCTTTTTTACCTTTATTATATGTATATAGAGGGCTTTTTTTCTCATAGAACGCCCAGAATGGCGTTCCGGCACCTTTTTGGGATGGAACCTTGTAGGTAGGCAAGGCGCATTGTACGATGTGTGTGAGTTCCGGCACCTTTCCCTTTTTTTTTTTTTTTACAAAAAAGCACTGTATATATATCAGTGATGGCGAGCCTTTTAGAGACCGAGTGCCCAAACTGCAACCCAAAACCCACTTATGCATCATCGGGTGCCGGGTGGATGTGGCCCATTGGGTGGGCGTGGCTGCGGTGGTAACAGCAGACTGGGTGGGACTAAAAAGTTCAATCAATCAATTCCAACTTTGCAAGATCTCTTGTTTTCCCGCGAGAAGTTGAAATTGACTGATTGATTGAAACTTCTGGAAAGCTGGCAGGGAGCAAACCACTGTCCTTTAGCACATTGTGTAAACTCAGTCACTGAGTATTTTCACATGAAATCTCATTCTGTTTATGCAGTTGAAAGTGACAGCTGCCCCAATTTAGGTAACATACTTAAGAATATAAGTAGGTGAATTTAGTCAACACAGCAGGTATGTGTAGTGCTTTGCCAAATATGGGCAATCATAAATGGTAACTGCATTGTGCAAAGATTTATTATTATGCATTCAGCTTTCTTTTGCAAATGGATTCTACACTGTGTTTAAAATTCAAAAGCTGCAAGTGTTTTGAAGTGATTATATTCTAACCATCACCACTAAATTATTAATCAAACCTCCATACGTTTGAGGTTTGTATCCTGAGGCAGCAAGCAGCTTTGTTTTATATTCTGTCATTTGCCAAATGTTAATCTTTGTGTTAGCAACTCAATTAAATGCTTGACATCTGTTTTTTCAAGATAATTGGTTCAGAGAAAGATACTTAGGACAGTATTCCACTGCAAGGCAGTGGAATGTGAAGTAGAAAGAAAAGATTGAAATAGAAGGGCACCACCTGAAACTATAATATTTGGGATGTATCAATCTCTTTAATTCAATATGTTTAATAAATGAATCACAGAATAGATGGAGCATTTTAATTGCTAAATATACATTGTATCTGCACAGATATTTAAGTAAAAATATATGATATACATTATAGTTTATTAAAAGTCCCTCAGTGTTGCCCAGGAATTAACAGTGTTATTTGCAAGAAACCAGAATATTTCATATGAAAACATTCAGTGACTGCATTCACATAATATGCAAAGATATAATGTGGTTTATTTTGTATCGAGCTTACCATGCCTGAATTAGTCCAGTCATTATGTATTTATATATTACTCCTAATATGGTATAATGTTATTAAATAATTCTGTAGAACTCTTTTTTCAAGATATAGTGTCCCAAATTAGTACTGATTAATAACCAGTGGATTTGTTGACTCTTGACTGCCAGGTAGGGAATTAACAAAACAAAATGGAGTAACAAAATACCTGCATACATTATCCAGTTATATTGCTATAACATCCAGAAGTGTGCTGACTGGGGAATTCTGGGAGTTGAAGTTCACATAGCTTAAAGTCGCCAAGTTTGAAAAGCACTGTATTAGACCAAACTGGCTCATTTTCTCAGATGTCAATATCCTCCAGAAAATAATCTAATTACTACCAAAGTATTGTAGCTTTAACTCATTGGGTAAAAACATTATGTAATTAGACCTAATAATGGTTGTAATATTGTTGTCATTGTTTATAATGGTTGTATGTATGCTGCAGTGTAAGAAGTATCTCTGAAATCCACTGCTACCCTAAACTCAGAAAATAGATTTGCTGCTATATGGTTCACCTGATTTTGCCATAGATTGTGCCTGCCTTGTGGGCAAAGCAGGTAATTGGTACTAATTGGGCTGTGCAAGGCTTTGCATTCAATGCCAAATTTATTTGCCAGTTCTGGGCAAAACACAAAGCTCACTAAATTATCTTGAACATGCCACAATACTTAGGTCCATATTATTTGAGAGAACAGAATTTTCTATATGCACTTCTGTGCTTACTGAGAATTGCATTTGTAACAACTGGTGAACAAGCCTTCTCTGTTGCCATCCAAGCTGTTTGGAATGCATGCCCTGCAGAATCTGCGTATTTACTAGTTTTGTCTACTGCTATAATTCCTAATGATTCCTGGTGGTTTAGGACCTGAAGGACTTAAGATCTTTATTAGCTTTTTAAAAATCTTCAAAACATATTTTTATACAGACTTTCAACTGCTAATTTGAACAGTTCATTATTAAGTTCACCTGTGTTAGCTACTTGTTATTTGTCATTTTACCTTTTCCATTATAAATGGCTGAGACTATTCAACAGTTGGCAGGCAGTATAGCAAGTTACATAAGTATAAATAAATAACATGCTTTGAAACAAATGGAAGTTTGAATGAAGCATCTTCTTAGAACTTTTAATAGAAGCTACCTTTTTTTCCTGGGACCACATAGCGACCCTCATATATTTTGAAGTGCCTTTTTTGGAACAGAAAAATGCCATGCAGCCCTGTTCCTACTACAAAGTTAGAACAATGTTAAAAGTTCCCAAGGGTATATATTTCAACATTTGAAAGGATCTTTAAAAGAATAATTCTCAATCCATGGCCCAGCTCGCCGCATCACATGACATGTCGCGACGTATCGCAACTTTTTGCATTGCCAGAGCTGGGTGGGTGTGGCCTCCACACGATGCAACCGGCCCCATGGACCAGCAGTTTGACACCCCTGCAAGGGGTCACTGATCTGGCCCCAAATTCATTGATTTAAAATATTTATATAGCTGTCCATCATGTATCATAATATTGGGCAGTTTATAAAGAATAAAAAGCACAAAATAACATTTCTGATTTCCAGCTAATATGTTACTCTAACATGTTAGCAGGAAGAGCCAGGTCATTAAGCCAAGGCTTTCCAGAAAGCTGGAAGGGTAGGGACTTGCCAGATTTCAGAGGGAAGGTGTTCCAAAGGGCAGGGGCTGCTAGTGAGAAGGCACACTGCCTAGATCCCTCTGGATGGTAACATTTAAGGGAAGGGACCTGGGTATACCCATCCTATTGTACTTGGTACAGCGGGCGAATACCCTCAGGGAGAGGGGTTTCACAAACAACTTGCTCCTGTGCCACTGAGGGCTTTAAAAGTGATAATCAGAATCTTGAATTACAGCTAAAAAAAACTAGAAACTTGTACAGCCACTGTGTAATATGGACAAACCACGAGTTGTCCAAAACTGTGTGCATTGCTGCACTCTGGACCAGTTGCAATTTCCACATGGTCTTCAAGGGCAGCCTTGTGTAAAACATGTTACAGTAGTTCAATCAAGAAATAGGCAACTGGTTGAAAGTTGTGTATCATAGTTGAGTCCAAGGAAGGCCTCTAAAGATCTCATGAAATCACCTAGATCTTGGCATTCTTGTCAAAAATCTAATAATAATAATAATAATAATAATAATAATAATAATAATAATAATAATAATAATAATAATAATAATAATAATAAGACATGGCTCTTCCAGCAAGCGGACCTGACCTAGGGTGGATTTTATAAATATTCGGAAGACGCAACATTAAAATTCGGTTTAATTCGGTTTTAAGGGGGGGATTGTATATATGTTCTGGTTTTAAATATGTTGTGCGCCGCCCTGAGTCCCTGTCGGGAGAAGGGCGGCATATAAATTAAATAAATAAAATAAATAAAATAAATAAAATAAATAAAATAAATAAAATAAATAAAATAAATAAAATAAATAATAATAATAATAATAATAGGAAGAGGAAGAGGAAGAGGAAGAAGAAGAAGAAGAAGAAGAAGAAGAAGAAGAAGAAGAAGAAGAAGAAGAAGAAGAAGAAGAAGAAGAAGAAGAAGAAGAAGAAGAAGAAGAAGAAGAAGAAGAATAATTATTATTATTATTATTATTATTATTATTATTACATTCTCATGTAATTTGATCCCTCACAGGATTTGGACTTTTGCAGCTACTATCAAAGGCAATCACATTCCATGGTGCCCACAAGTAGCTCTTTGTTAACCTTTGGTTTATTTTATAGTCAGCAAAAGCCTTTTGAATGCCATACATTTTTTGAGGGACTACCTCTCTATATGTACATTTAACCTTCCCATCAGGTCTACTAGGAGAGGTCAACAAGTTCTGTCTATGAAGAAGTTTCACCTGACAAAACCCATAGGATGCACATTTTGGAAAATCAGTTCCTTGGAGCTTAGATTGGTCCTGACCCTATGGCATTCAGGAAGGTTTGAAAAGACAGCTTTGCTCTTGCTCCAAGGGTCAGTAGTGGTGGATAGCTTTTACAATGGCTGTATTGAATGTGATCTATTGATTGGATTTGGTTAGTGTGTGTGCCCATGTGTGTGTTTTAATGTGATTTTTATTGCATGTCTTAATGTTTGTTTTTATTGATTTGTTTTGATTTCAATGCTATTTTTATTGCTGGGCTCCACCCAGAGTCACTGAGTGATGTTGGGTGGCTATACAGATTCAATAAATAAATAAATAAGCTCCAAAAGTTCTGAATGACGGCACAACAACCCTGAAATTGTTTACTTTCATTTATATTTAAATTTACACAT